CCAACAATATTCCATTCATCAATCGGAGGATATCTTTCATCTACTTATTTATTTTAAAACATCAAGGTAGTCCTAAGAACTACATTACATAGCTGATTTCAACGGAGGCCCAAAATTCGACATAGGTAAAGGAACATAGATTGTGAGGTGTTTACAGGGATTAATGAAACTACTGCTGCTATGGCAATGGTTTGGGGTGCCTGGACATTTCGGGACTTTATACACTAGATATATAGAAATCGGCGGTTTTGTAATACTAACTCTAATAGGAATAAAAGGTTCGTATTCAACTTCAAATCAACGTTTGTATTTCGTCAACAGCGGTGAGTTCGGTAATGCTTGTCTTTTACTTGGACTAAATTCTAACCAACCCTATAGCAGACCTGTCCGCGACTACACTTGCAACAGTGGCAGCTAAAATGACTAAACACTTAGTCTAGCTCTTGGGGAAACATATAAACTTTGTTTTTTCGTTTTCTCTATTTTTAGTCTGAACATATACACAATTTTGTAATCTTAATTGCAAAATAAAAAAAAAGCAGCAGCAGCAAACCAATTGACCTTTGCAAGGGAGCTTAAATGCAGGTATATTGTTTAAATTAGTAACAAACTGATGGCATTATATTTTAACTGTTTGGTATTTACTACCATGGTGATAAATTGTAATACACAAATAGGAAGAATGTCGAAATGTATTGTTCCAAATCTAACGCACATGGAAGCCTATTTCTCTATACAACTTGTATCTGCATTTCCAATTGGAACATGCAGCAAAATTCTTAAAACTGTGGCTTTATGTATTAAGTTTTGCAAAGTAAAAGAATTATCCTGGTAACAGGCACAGTATTAATGAAGTAAATATTGAAGAAAACACATGGTACAAATTCCAATGCAGGTTAGACATCCAGATAGATACACAAGAAAACTGTTGTTTAAGAAACTGGACAGATTTTAGAAACTGTGGCTTCAAACAGCATCCACTACATTCTTCAGTGACTAACAGAATCTACAAATTGTATATTTGAACAGGTTTTCATCCAAAAACTATGAATTGCTAGACAGTTCATAGGAAACACATTGAACAAACTATATTGAGTGTCACATTATTTATGATGACATCTTCGTAGAAATCTCATCAACAAGACTTAGCAGCAGTGAAAAGTAACCATCTCCGCTATCTTCTTGCTTTTCTTCTACCACAAGTGCCTGGTATTCTTCTCTTAACACGGACAGATGCTGCTCTGTTATAATATATGAAATTCAATGTATTTTCTTGAGTGGTGGTTCACATTATTTGTGATGACATCTTTGTAGAAATCTCATCAACAAGACTTAGCAGCAGTAAAAAGTAACCATCTCCGCTATCTTCCTGCTTTTCTTCTACCACAAGTGCCTGGTATTCTTCTCTTAACACGGACAGATGTTGCTCTGTTATAAAATTCAATGTATTGTCTAGAATGCTGGTTCACATTATTTATCATGACATCTTTGTAGAAATCTCATCAACAAGACTTAGCAGCAGTGAAAAATAACCATCTCCGCTATCTTCTTGCCTTTCTTCTACCACAAGTGCCTGGTATTCTCTTCTTAACACGGACAGATGCTGCTCTGTTATAATATGTAAAATTCAATGTACTTTCTTGAGTGGTGGTTCACATTATTTATGATGACATCTTTGTAGAAATCTCATCAACAAGACTTAGCAGCAGTGAAAAGTAACCATCCCCGCTATCTTCTTGCTTTTCTTCTACCACAAGTGCCTGGTATTCTCCCCTTAACACGGACAGATGCTCCTCTGTTTCTGCAGACTTGTAGTCACTCTGACAGGGGGTGTATAGGGTGATCATGGCACGGAGGACCTTCTCTCTAGTGTCGTGATCTGGGCTGTCCAGGAGAGTTGGGATGAGCTGGCACCATCCAGCTTCAACCAGCATTTGTAACAGAGGAACCCTGGAGGTAAGAAAGAAAAAAAATACACTGTAATGGCTCAAAAACATTTTCCTTGTGGATTTTACTGGCAATTTCAGGGTGGTAAAAATATTCTGAATGAAAAAAATACGTCTGGTATTGATATTTATGCCATCTCTTCCATATTTTATTGTTTCATGCCACCAATAAATAACTTTATCATATAGCCGGGTGACGTTGACCAATCAGAAGGCTCCATTCCACATTCCTTATGTTGCCATAATGTCACAAATAGAGTCAAAATCGGGTATTTATTCATCGCAATCCATACATTAAACAACCCAATAATCAACCGCATATGACCTCAGGTGACCCAATAGAACACGGCTCTAGTTCTAAAAAATCCAAAAATAACTTAATTTGTGTTCCAATGACCTCGGGTGATTCCTATAAGAACACCTGTTCCCTGCCTTTGACCCAGTTAGAACGTGAACTCTACCCTGTGTCCTCAGGTGACTCCAGATGGAACAATGTTCTATGTTCTATTCAGCATGTGCAAGGGGTAAATTGTACATTGTGTCACTCTTCACTGCATCAGTTTGGATAGGCTATCGTGTAAGGTATATGATAATAGCGTTAATGGCCCGCCCTTTCTCGGTGAATATGGTGTGATAAGGCCTTGTCAGTTGCTATAACCACCGAATAAAGCCACCTCGTTCGCGCATATTCACCTCCGGGTGGGTCATTAACCCTCAAATATACGATGTACATGTAATACTATACTGTAAAACCATCCTATGATGCAAAACATGCCATTTTCAGTCATTGTATTTTTGCCTTATCAGTATGCTGTAGGAAAAGACTAACAGAAGTTGCCGCATTAAAAGAATGACCAGAAAGTTGAATTCAAATCCACTTTTGCTGTCCTGATATTGCATTCCATTTATAGTCTTTAAGACATGTCTTTAAGGCAGAGAAAAAATGCAATGAGAACTAGAAGTAGTATAAAAAGCCCTAATTCCATACTTTTCATATTGATTTTTCTTCTCCATATTTGTTGGGTTGTCTGAGCTCAAGTATTCTGCATTGTTCTGAAAAAAGATATGAAACATTAAGAAGAATAAATCAAGGAGTCAGTGGTTCAGTTTACTTGACAAAGGCTGAAGGGTTGATTGATTCATTGGCAGAAACTAACACAGGTCACACTACGCTAGTGCTGGCCATGCACGGGTACCTAACTGCTAACCTAAAGGTACAAGTAAACATACTTCTGGTACATGAATTTATGTACAAGCCCAGACCTTTACATGTACTTGAACAATTTGACAAAGTGACCTGTAGTCATCAATTAGGATAGAAACAGATATAAACAGTCAACCAAATGCATGTGCATAGAACACAGTGCATGCTTTTGAAATCTATGGCTTAAAATGCGTATTTCTGCATACAAGCACTAGTAGTAGTACAGGTATCGTTGAAAGTTACCTGCACCAAACAGATTTTACGTACACCACTCAGATTTAGGGAGTATGGAAGGTACAAAAAACTGTTCAGAAGCTATTGTCATTACTTAATCTTTACACTTCATAACATCAACCCACAGGACAGAGGCAAGCGGCGAGCTGGTATCAGTATTGCACTACACTACGCTACACTACACTACACTGCACTACACTGCACTGCACTGCACTACACTGCACTACACTGCACTGCACTACACTGCACTGCACTGCACTGCACTACACTACACTGCACAGCACTACACTGCACTGCACTGCACTACACTACACTACTACACTGCACTGCACTTATAATACTACACTACACTGCACTACACTACACTGCACTGCACTGCACTACACTACACTACACTGCACTGCACTACACTGCACTGCACTACACTACACTAAATTACACTACACTACACTAAATACATTTACACCCACCTGTTCCACCATCAGGTCATGTAGCAGGGTCACTGCTTTGATGCGGAGAGTCGTGGCATCCGGGTCTCCAAACAACCTGGCCAGACAACTCAAACCACCCTGTTGAAGAAACCTTTCCACACAAAACAAGAAATGGAAGATTTCAGAGTTATTCAATCTTCTGAAATGTATTTGGGTTTTTCATTTGATTAATGTTTGCAAACTGTGGAGGGGATTGTATGGTGTAACTTGGCCAAACACCAGCCAACCACAGCTGACCTTGCTCCCCATGTATACTCCTATCCAGCACGTTGGCAGAATGTACTGCGCTTGCGCAGAACCCCGTATTTTCGCGTTTTTCGTTGGGTTTTTGGTCAACATTGCATCAGAATTTTGCCTGTTGCAGAGGATATTCTTTCCGACATGACATTTGGAAACTACAGTCGAAATGCTAACCTTATATGAGTGAATACAACCTTATATGAGACATTCTGTCGAAATGCTATGGGTTTCACGCAGGTGCAGTACGTTCTGCTGACGTGCTCTCCTATCCATGGTTGGGGGAGTTTGGCAGTGTTTGGGAGGCCACATTCAGGTATGTACATGTATATAGCCAAGTTTTTGCACAACAGTTGCATAGGATACAATGTATGGCCAACAACACTTGATGTATTAGCGGGGCTTAAAGACATCCATTGCAATTTCAAGGCACTCACTCACTCTCACTCAGTCCTCTTGCACGATGTGCGTCGAGCCTACTAGGCGGGCCACCTCCCTCCATCTCGATCTGTCCTGGGCTACCCCCTGCGCTTCTTCAGGGGTGATGTTGACCAGGGCCAGGTCCTTGGCCAGGACGTCTGTCCAGCGGGTGCGGGGGGCCCCCCGAGGTCTCTTCCACCCAGCAGACTGGGGGCTGAAGTTCAGGATAGCCCGTGTAGGGTGGTCGGGTGGGAGTCGTAGGACATGTCCGTACCAGCGGACTCGGCGCATCGCTGCCACACGGGAAGCAGGAGGCTGCTGGGTCCTTTGCCTGAGCTCGGTGCCAGGCAGGTGGTCAAACCAGCGTACTCCCAGAATCCTCCTGAGACATCTGCTGTCGAAGCCGTCGAGTCTAGCTGCCAGAGTGTTGCTGAGTGGCCAGGTCTCAGCTCCGTACAGCAAGATTGAGACCACCGCGGCATTGTAGACACGTAGCTTTGTGCCTAGCGAGATGTGTCTGTGCTTCCAGAGCGGTCTCCAGAGCGCCTGCATGGCCGCTGCTGCTAGTCCACGCCGCCGGTCAATCTCGAGTTTCAGATCACCTGTCCTGGAGACTGTGGACCCGAGGTAGTTGAAGGTGGACACGAAGTTTACCGCAGGCAACATCCTGTCCAGCGAGGAAGACTGCATCACCCGCTGGAGAGAACATTTTAGCCAGCTCTTAAACCATCCTCCTGTCCCTGAGGACCCTGACCTCAAGGATGCTGCTGATGCTGCTGACGACTCCAACACGGACTCTCCAACCCCTCCTGTCACCCCAGACGAGGTTAGGACCGCACTAAGGAAGCTGAAGAATGGGAAAGCCCCCGGCATTTGTAAGATCACAGCAGAGATGCTGAAGGCCGGAGGAGACCATATCGTCAAGTGGCTAACCGAAATCATCAACCATGTGTGGATCCAGGAGAGACTTCCTGAGGACTGGAGAAGAGGGATTATTCTACCATTCTGGAAGAGGAAAGGTGATCAGCTGGTTTGTAGTAACCACAGAGGTATTACTCTCCTCTCCATCCCCGGCAAGCTTTTCACCCGCATCCTCTTGGCTAGAGCAACCTCTCTCATCCGGAGCAGCAGACGCCCACAGCAGGCCGGCTTCATGCCCAACAGATCCACGATCGATCACATCTCGGCCCTCCGTCTAGTCATTGAAAAGGCCCGCGAGTATAGGAAGGACAGACATCTGTACATTGCCTTCGTCGACCTGCGTGCTGCCTTTGACACGGTGGACCATGCTTCCCTGTGGAAGATACTGACTACCATCGGTGTCTCTCCAAAGATCATCGCCCTCTTTTAGCTGCTATACAGCGATGCAGAAAGCTGCGTCCGTGTGAACGACAAGAACTCAGAGTGGTTCCAGATTAACAGCGGAGTCCGTCAGGGCTGTGTTGCTGCCCCCGACCTTTTCAACTGTGTTGTGGACTACCTTATGTCTAAGGTCTCCGAGTGCGTCCCTGGAGTCTCTTTTGGCGGATACAGTCTTGCAGATCTGGAGTACGCCGACGATACGACCCTGCTGGCCGACACTCCCCAAAGACTCAGGGATGCCCTGGCAGTTTTTGATGCAGAAGCCTCAAAGCTTGGCCTTAGTATCAACTGGTCCAAAACTGAGCTGATGCACATAGGGGATGGCCCTGACCCTGCACCGTTCAGCTTCAACAATTTCAAGGCAGCAATGAGGAAATCTGTAGAAATATTGATATTGACTGCCATATCATAAGCACTCTCTTCAATCATCATTTCAAACTTCAATCGTTATAACTCCAAAATCAAGCTACGTGAAGAGTCCCTTCATTTTTTGGTACCGCCCATAAATAACAAGACCCAATATAGAGTACAAAAACGCAATGATTGTTTTCCATCAGCAACATTATAATAGCATTTTTGCCTCACAGATATCAGTATGCTAATGAGATAGGAATATAATTGATTCAACTTATATATGTACATTAATGGAATGACCAGAAAACTGACTTTGAAAACCCCGTTTTGCCTCCCTAAAATTATTGCATAATTATTACAGGGCTCGAAATTCATTTTTGGGAATAAGTCCACCAAATTAGGTGCACAAATTTTTTTTTAGGGTGCACCATATTTACAGATTTTACTGCAGCTCCTCTTCTGAGCTTGAATCTGAAATGCGAGCTAACTTCAAAATCTTAAACAAATGTACTACAACAAAGATTTTATTATTTTTCTGACACTTACATGCCAAGAATATTTTGTTAACTACATAAATTATATACATTTGATATGTATAAAAATACCTTTAAAATATTTGAGTGCACCAGTGCACCCCCCGAAAAGAAAATTGGGTACACAGGTCCAATTTGGGGTTCAGTAAGGTGCACAATGACATGCACCCAGTCTTTCGAGCCCTGCATTAAGACATTAGGAGAATCATGGGTGACACTACCTGAGTTGAGCCAGTGGGAAATGTCGGATGAGAGAGGACAGGGCGTAGAGAGACTTCTTTCTCACTGCAACAGACGAGTCACTGGCAACCAATCGGATTAGAGTTGGGATCGCTCCAGATTCCAGGGCCTCGATCTGTACCTTTGGATTACTGGAAAAATGTGTGGAAAAATAAAGTTAAAGAGTATGAAAAAAAACATTAACTGTACATTCAATTCATACCAAGGTAGAGGTTGTCTATAATAATTGCCTTTGGCTTAAAAAAAAATCAACATCTTATTCGAGGGGCATCCCAGCCAAAGCTAGACATGTAGGTACTCAATTTCACTGGAGTGAAGTAAGGAAAAGACGTGTACAGCACTTATTCCAAGTGCACAACATTGGGTCTTGTCAAGGGATTCAAATCCGGGATCTATGGGTTCCGGACACCTTACATGTATGTACACCACTCTCCTTTATAGGAAATGGCATTTCAGTGTAATATATTGGGATTTTCTTAATTCAAATGCACAACCAGTGCTTCTTTTAGCTTATATTCCAACTGTATGTCTATCAGACACATTCCTCAGATTCAGAGCTTCTTAGTACTGGAGTTCTGCTTCTCACCAAAAGAGTACAAACGGTAGCTATATATAGGCTGGATATTGTTAGAGACTCTGTATCAACGAAGGTAGCATTATCGCGGAAAAGACTTTGCCGTGGGAGAATGTAGCATAAAGCTGCAAGCTTAGAAGTAGAACTCCAGTCAGGAACTCTGAGGAAGACGTCAGATAGGCATTGAAATGCAATTAGGCCATACAAATTTAATTTGTTGGTTCTCGGATTTTTTCAGAAAAGTATGTGACAGGGCAAAAAAGTAAAAAATAAAAACAGGACTATGCATCCCATTATAGTCCCTAATGATACATGTACAATAGGAGCCATGAAGCCAACATATCAGGCCGGTTTAAAATTTAAACAATGATAATTTTAATTCCCAATGCATTAATAAATGGAAAAACTGTAACAACTAGGAAGAAAAGCACTTTCTTCAACTGTTTGGGGCAACATATGTATTGAGTATTTTTTAGTTGACCAGAATTCTTTTTTTTTTTTTGCAAATCAGAAAAAAAAAATGAAAAGGAGAATCCGAGAACCAACAAATTAAATTGGTGTGGCCTTAAGGTAAAAGAAGTACTGGCTGTGTATAAGAAAGTCCCAATATCCTATAAATAATTATGTCTCGCCAACCTGACAAAATTGTTCTCGATTTGAAAAAGCATTTCAGTGTGTCTACCTCTGTACGGCTGCTCCCAGTACCCTGGCTGCCTCTGAGCGGATGTCACTGTTACTGTCATTCAGGGCCAGAATCACCAACTGGAAACCTCCCAGCTCAATCAGGTTCTGAGCATTGTCAATCTGATATAGGACAACAATAAAAAGGTTTAACTGGCTTATAAAAGATCACCAAAAGACTTATCTTTCTACTAAGGTCACAAAACCCACTCATTATGCAGAATGTGGAACTATTCATTATCCAGACCACTGCCTTTGAAGAAGAAGCTTATAATAGCTAGCATACTAGTAGAAGTTTTAGCTTTTCCAGACAGTAGTTGTCTGTTCTCTATTATTGTTTTGTACCAAATACATTAATTTTGTAGTATCTTTGACTGTAAAAGCAATTAGCTTTTGGGCATGATTTTTCCAATAAAGATTTATCTATAAAAAATTGTGTACATTTGTATATAATCCATTTGTTCAAACCTTACAGTCTCGTCTTACGCAGCTTGTACTTTCACGTACAAAACTGTCTAAACTCCTTGTTCGAAATCTTTTTACAGTGACAGTTTCTTTCCCCGTACGGCCAAGCTTTGGAATTCCCTCCCTGACAAGTGTTTCCCACCAACCTACAATCTACAGGCTTTCAAATCAAACGTTCACCGCCATCTCTTGACATAGTCATGTTTCCCTCATATTTCTAGTTCAATGCCGAGAAGTGGCCATATAGGCCTTGCATTGAACCACTCCGTTAAAAAAAAAACTGGTGTGTTACGCCTACAGAGGCGGTTTACCGGTTATGTGAAACAAACAAACAAGACCAGACAGGTGTTTTCAGTGCCTACCTGGTGCACGTGATACTCCAGCTCTGTGAGCACGTGAAGCCTCATGTCGTCAGACACGCCCTCCTCTGTGTATGCCAGCAAGAGTTTCTGCATGATCTCTGTATCTGTTTCCACATCCACCTGCAATGGGACAAATAGAGACTTTTTTCAGCGTGCTGCAATACTGTCAAATTGTCAAAATTTTGTTCTGCAATAAGTTGCTTGGCAGTCCGGAAATACACACTTATAATACAATGTAAGTCTGGACATGAACACATGGAATATACAAAATTAAATGCTAGTAAACATTTATATTTAAAAAATACTACTTGTATATTCAAGGAGCTTAATGTCTATATTTTAAGCTCCTTGGTACATTAGAAAGTCTAAACACAAAAATCAAAGCTCTTAAAAAACACTGAATACTGGGCAGTAGCATGACTTTTGTCCATCAGCAAAATGGAAGAATTTTTCTATATTATACAATGTATATTGCAAAAATGCAGACAGTGGATGGATATTTCTAACACTGACCTGCATCTGCTGGAAAATTTCCTTCAGTTCATCGTAGGAGCGGTACTGGTCTTTAACCTCCCTCAGCTACAGGGAAGAAATAGAAAGAAATGTTTAGTAGACACTCCTCAAGGACACCTAAATCACGTTAAATAACAGACGTGAGTGGAAGTGGAACAAACCATTGTGGTCTAAAATGACGTAGGAAATTTGTCCGACCAGCCCCGTAGCCCCTGCTTCTCCTATTGGGTCAATTAGTCCTTCACTCTACTTGTTAGAAATTGGGCTGGTCTCAATCATGATGTTCCTGACTCAGGGAGGAGAAGAGTTGCTGTTACAGTTCTACTCGGTAACCCGTAACCCAGGTGAGTGGTCATACCATTCAGGTGATAATGCCATTCAGGTGGTTAACCAACCTTGAAGTGGCCTAATGGACATGCTACGTGGTGAACATTAAGTATATATATTTAAAAAAAAGCCCGTCACACATTCAGAACCTTGCCCCAAACTCCAACCAACGTTAACCATTTTTGGCTGAAGTTAAATGGAAGCAGTCTGACCAGATTTAGGCTATGCCTACTATAGTACCTTGCTATACAAATCAAATCATATTTGAGCTAAATTTGAGTCAGATCTGACTACTAACCATGTCCCAACCACATCTGACCTACATGTACTCTTGAACACATTGTACCTATACCATTGCCTAACTGCTCGTGTCCACACCCAAATGTTTTAAACATTTTCAAACATTCAGCTGGCACAGCCAAAAAGTAGCCGACCTTTAAGTTAAGGTTGTTTCAACTCAAATTGCATATCATATATTAAAGGCATCTAATGCAGTTTTTAGGGCTTCGAAACCCTATTTTTAAAGTCAATATTCTAGTAACTCATCTACATACTGAGTTGAAACTACACTTTCCCGATGTATATTGACCTTCATGCATGGAATAAAAATATCCAAAATTCTGACAAAAAACGGTTACTGGAATGGTCCTGGGCTGATTTTTTAACAAAAATAAAGGACTCATCTTGGTGCTTGTTTCTGCAGTTTTAAATACCTAAAGTATGAAATGCTAATGTGAAGCAGTATATATTATTCAGAGTATTTCCAGTTTTGCTGCTCTGAAATCGCATTGGATGCCTTTAAATGTGTATGAAAGTCTTCATCATCCTTTCCCAACTGATGTCAACTGCGGAAACATACCAAAGACAATACCTCCATTTTTCATGGAGGTAATAAATTCTAAGACACCTTTTGTTGCCCAGCTTCTGACACGTCATCTTGGTCGGCCTTGAATTTCTTGAGAGCTTCCTTCAGCTCGCTGGCTGTGAAGTACTTGTTCTTGGTGTTGACCATGCCCTGCCGGTCCCCGTCTGTCCATTTCATGTACCTGGAAGGAAGCACACTAGAAGCTTGAGAAACATTTCTGGCAGTAGGACTGCATACCTAATTGATGAGACTTTATTTAACATTTTTGAACTGAAATATTTTAATTCAAAGTCTTCAAGTTGAAGACTTTGAATTTAAAATATTTCAAGTTCAAGTGATTGTAATTTTGTTTCATTTTACAACAAATTTGTACAATTGTCTCAAAGTTCTCACTTTATGTCTGGCTGACGTGGTGCCACCTCAAATACTAGAAATAGAATGTAAACAGACATACTTAGCTATCTAGATCTGTGTTTCTAACTTTTAAACATGCTTGAAAGGTGTTATATTTTGGCACCTCCACTTCCTGAATGGTACATGTAGTTACATGCACATGTTGTATGTGCAATGGAGAAAGGTTGCAAAGAAATGAACAGAAAATTCATTTTTTTGTATCATCCTAATGTTACATTATGCAGCTTAAATGACACAAGAGCAATGATAAAAGGTGCTGAGGTTTATGGTACCTGGAAGAAGAGTCTTGTTCGTCCTTTGTGTCCTCCTCCTCCATGAGTTTGGCCCGTTTCTCTCCAGTTGTGAGGTCAATAGAGACATGAAGTCCTGCGGGAATGGCTTGTCCTGGAGGAAGGAAAGTTAACATTCTGACTCAATTTATGACTCCTCTGAAGACCCCCAAACTAGTACGCACGGGGAAATAAAAGTTAAGATGATGCTAAACCACAGGAATACTGTAACAAACTTTAGCTGTTATTGTGTATTTGCAGTACGTAGAAACTTTGATGACAAGCCCGGGTACATGCTGGTCTTTTGCAGCACACAGGGTTTTTTCTAAACAGGGGAATACGTAAGGGAGCTGCTCCCTCATGTAACCAGCCAGCTCTTTCATATCAATTTTCAAATTGAACCCAATGTGGCTACTTAAACAACATTTAGTCTTTCTCAAAATGATCTTTTTCCAGGACAGATGTAAAAACAATACAACAATGCATTCTAGCATTACAAACCGTGTTACTCTTACTAAAAAATCCCCCCTCGGTCGCTTCGTTCCTTGTCATGCTTGCGATCTGCTAGTGGCACATATGACTTCTTGAGTTCCAGATATATCTGTGGAGCCTCGGCAGCCAGGGTGCCATCCTCTGTAGGTACCTCTGGCTCCCTATTGTCACTAGCTACCATGGACCATGGAGGATGGCACCCAGGCCAAAGCCTTGTCAGAGGTGATTTTTTTTAGAACATGCGAAAATCAATGCATGCTTGGATGCCATCCATCAAATTAAATCAGTGTGACCTATCACATAAAACAAATCAATCCATTTTTTTTTAAATAGACGATATTCTATGATGATATTTGCTGAAACATGACCAAATCTAGAAGAATGATGACATGCATAAGACTAAAATAGCAAGTTCACACTAACCCAGTGTTGACGTCACACTTCAAAGAAGCCACGTGACAAGCTTCACTGTGTCAGTCTACTGAGGAAGACCAGAATGACTGGTCGAAAGCTCTAGATGAAAGAATTTTTTGTGTTGAAACTTGGATCAAAAGTTTGAACTCCAAACACTAACCTGGCTTGATTTGTTGCCATTCTTTAGTTGGATAGAACACCTCCAAATCCTCCTCATCATAATCATCTACATCCACACTCACAACACCATCATCAGATTCTACACCGTTTTCCTCTTCATTTGGAACTACGGTCAACGCTCCAGTATGACCTCCCCACGTCTGCTTGGAGTTTTGAAGCCCTTGGTCGGCGTCTTGAGTGTTTCCTCCATGTAGAAGTAAGGAGGACAAGACGAGGGCAAGAACACTTGCTATATGGACAGCTGCTAGTTTCTTCATTCTGTTCATATAGCAGATGATGGTGGCTAAAGAAAAGATTGTCAAAATAAACTGTTAGGCCACAGCAAGTAAATTTTATGGATGACATCCTCCGCAGACACCAAATCTAATGCGAGCAGGCGAAAGAAAACAAGGCGGGCCGAAAAAAACAAGGTTCCTACATTTTAAAATTTTGACTCAATAGATGATGATGGTACAAATGGTTTTGATTCAGAAGTGGAAACATGACATATACATAGCCAACATCACATATCACTGCATCAAAGTAGGAAACAAAACATTAAATCAGATTCAGAGTCTTTTCTTGTCTCCTCTCTTCATAGTTATCTGCCATCCACCTTCCGGCATGGCAACAGACATCTTTGCCCATTTTTTGCATGTTGACTACTGTCAGAAGGCAACGAAATTTCTCTTTTTTTTTTTTCCCAAAATCAGGCGAAAAGTTAATGTGCGCGTTAATGTCATCCATAAAAATTACTTGCTGTGGCCTTAATTCATAGGACACAAAATAGCCATCAAAAAAACTCCTGATAAGTTTACATGTAGATAACTTCATTCCTTTAAAACAAATAATTTGCCAATATTGTCACCTAGTAATCTGTAAAATAAAATATGAAATTATAATAGAAGACGATCTTGAGTGTCATTTTACTGTAACGTTACGTGTATGTGGATTGTACATGTATGCGAATATGAGAAATATTCTCTTTAAAAATTGCATACAAGACAAGATCCATAATTTAGGTATTTTGATAAAAAAGGACAATTCATAAGTTATAACTTTAACGTTTAATCTACACGTAACATATTCTTACACAGATACAATAATGAGCGCTATTACTAATATTAGGTAAATTCAGGTAAATTCATTCAGGTATTAATTAAAATAAATAAGTGGTAAGTTTAACGTGTTACATATTTATATAGTATACTATAGATGTAGTAAGATACAAGAGAGTATCTCTGTTTACTGTATATAGAAAATTATTAACATGACCTGCATGTAGTTTATATATAATACTAGCCGCGGCGACTGTTGCAGGGCTTCTCTTGCTTGCAGTCTTTACATTAGTTAGGGCTAATGTAAAAGACTGCAAGCAAGAGAAGCCCTGCAACAGTCGCCGCGGCTAATATAATACCTGTGCTTTATAGCTTTTGTTGTAAGGCCACAGTTACATAATTATGCATTTATATTATTAAAACGTCAACAACATGATGGAGTTTCGAACGATCAAAAGAACGAGTAATTTTCAGGGCATTTACCTACCTTTTCCAAAATCTCTATCTTGCCTGCTGTCCTCGATATCTGTGTTGAACAGTTCTTTAGCATGTCCTGCTATCTAAACTCTGTTATAGGTACATAAGTCCACGTGTGATTCGCGAGGAGTGAGGTGGAACAACAACATTGGGACACGTCAGCCATGTTGTCTCAGGGATCTTCCACAAGGTATACGGGGGTGCTACTTTTTTTATTGGCGATGAAAAAAAAACAACGTATTGGCGAAATTTTAATGCTATACTCATCATCATAGGTGTGTATATGTTACGAAGTTATAGTTGAAATATTTTGAGCTTTCTTTTTCGCACGGAGAATGTTACAATCGTGATTTTTCCGGGATCTACCATTATGTTGGCGGGGATAGCCTTTGGTTGCGCAATCCTTGTAAACTGAGCTACAGGAAATAATCGCTAGGTGGGGCGGCTACACTGCACAAAGTTACGTCATATCATCTGTAGGAAAGATGGCTGCGCCCTGTCGGACCGTGCTGCGTTCCGTAACAAATTTTACCTCTGCTGCTTTGTTTAGAAGCACAAAACCGAGGTAAGTAGAAACAGACCAATATTTACATTCTTAAGTTTCTTTCGAACCTAATACTTTTATTGTTTGTGATGTCCGTTGAAGATTTCGGGCAAGTAAAATTTGAGTTTGAGGGGTGGGAGGGGGGCGATGAGGTCACTGCATCATACATGCCATGTGCGAGGCAGTTTTCTCAGAATAGTTTGTCAGATTTAGTTCTTTGTGCGTGTTGTTGATCCACTTGTGGAAATATGTTGCAGTGTGTTCCTTCTTATCATATACTTACGGATGTTTGGTGTTTTTTATGCGATGTGTTTTTTGATGATGCAAATTCTATATCTGTGAATCATGCAAACTGTCTTATGTAATCGTACTACGGTGTTGAGTAACTCGTGTAAAATTTAGAAGAAAATTTTTTTTAGAGATTTATTACATGCATTTTTGAATCAGGGTTACGTCATATGATCTGTACAATTGTTCTTTTTAAAGGACATCCCGTGTTAGATTTGAAGAGGGCCTGCAAGCCCTTTTTCGTAAGGCGTAATCAGGCCGTTTTAGACTTCGTAATTCGTAGGCAGCCTCCGCAAAAATCAATGTAATTCGTAATTGGACATTAGCCGCAAATCGTAAAGTCGTAATAAGCTCTGAGACTTAAACGTAATCCGTAATAGGCGGCGAAAATTTTGCGTAATTCGTAATCACTACCCCCCCTTGCACTTGCAGGCCCTCTTTGAAGGCATCCAAATGTGATTTCAGGGCAGCAAAACTGTAAATATTCTGAATAGGTCACTTCCCAGCTCTCGAGTTGAACACCCTTCTCACCTAGAAATCTGTAGTCTTCCCCTGGCCGAAGGGATTATTGTGATGTGTCACTCGGGGTCTGGCAGGCAGGCCCTAGGAAACCCCATTTTTCAAAGTCAATATTCTAGCTATAGTCACTTATCTACATACTGAAGGTACATAGATGAAGGTACACTACTCCAATGTATATTGACCCTCATGGAGAAAAATACCCATAATTCTGACAGAAAATCATCACTGGAAGGGCCCTGGGCTGATTTTTAGGGTACATCCCATAAAATAAAGGACTCATCTTGGGGCTTGTTTCTGCAGTTTTAGCAGTATGTGTCAATATCATAAAGATTGTCTTATTCAGAATATTTCCAGTTTTGCTCCTTTGAAATTGCATTGGATGCCTTTAATCCTAGCACCATCATACTCTAAAATTGGGGTGAAATCCCTTTATTCATTATATTACATATTGCATAATTTCTTCTTAGATATAGCACAAGATACTTGTCTACAGTAGCTACAGAGACGTCTAAGACAGAAGATGGGGAGGCAGCCAAGACAGAAACACCTGCGGAAGGAGAGCCATCTCCAGCTGACCAGAAACTGATGGAAGAAAAGGCCAAGCTAGATAAGGAACTAAAGGAATACAAGGTAAAACATTTTTTTTTACACAAAATTATTAATTTTATATCTGGGATAGAAGTATTGTGGTGTGTTATGCCGTAGGGCAGTTATACTTATACTGGCTATACTGACACAGATATCGAAATACATACTTATTTATGATACTTAGCAATATTAATTTGATCTGAGGTGTCCCATATTTCAGAAATAATTTCAGACAAAATGTAAGTCTTTAACTTAAGATTCAATATGGAGCAGGCCTCAAAATTAACTTTTCTTCCTATTGTCCCAGCACTGTCCCAAAAATAAATTTCAATTGTCCCGAAGTGAGGATGAACTGTCCCAACCTGTTTTTCTTAAGCATTGTGAGACTTCAACTTGAAGTCAAATTTATTTTGCTTATGTTCACTCCCAGGCGCACAATAAGTTCAGAGTGAACACTGAAATTTAGGGGGACTTTTGTAATAAAATAATCAAAAGAACGGCTGACATTCTAAAGTTATTTTTCTATTGTCACAAAAATGTCCCAAAGTGTCTTTTTAGTCTTCCCAGCCTAAAGTTTAGTGGTCAGTGGCCATTGAACAACCTTTAATTTCGAGCCCTGTAAGTCTAAAATAGTCTGATCATAGCATGAAAGTTATCTGTCTTGGTACAGATCATTATGAAATAAAGACTAAGCTTTAACTTCCAACACTTAGGTACAGAATTGGGACTTACCCCAAATTTTTGGTTGACTCCATCAACCTTGTTCACGGAATGGACCCGTCTACTCTTGGAACGTGACGTCAGAGACACGCGACCTTAGTAGTGGGTCATACGAGATTCCTGGAACATCAACGTCCGAGTTCTGTAAACTCAGAAGTCTCACAACATATTCACATTGAATCTCCGGGACATTCAGTATCTCTAGAAGGGGTTAAAATCCTTGATTCTGAATCGGACTTCTTTGCAAGAGGAGTAGAGGCGGTATACATAAGAGCCCACATTCCTACCCTGAACAGGCTACACAAGTTATCTAGTACGTATGACCCACTACTACGGTCACGTGTCTCTAAGGTCACGTTCCAAGAGTAGACGGGTCCATTCTGTGAACAAGGTTGATGGAGTCAACTGAAAATTTGGGGTCAGTCCCAATTCTGTATCAAAGTTTTGAAAGTTAAAGCTCAGTCTTTATTTCAGAGTCTGATCATGCTTCATTTACTCCTGTCCAGGACAAGTATATCCGGGCCCTCGCTGAAACAGAGAACGTCCGGCAGAGAATGAAGCAGCAGCTCGCCGACTCCAAACTCTACGGGATCCAGAGTTTCTGCAAAGACCTGTTGGAAGTTGCCGACATCCTACAGAAGGCCACGGAGACCGTGCCGGCCGACGAGGTGAAAAGCAACCCCACTCTCAAGACGCTTTTCGAGGGGTTGAAAATGACGGAGACGCAGATGCAGAAGGTTTTCAGTCGCAACGGTCTGGAGATGTTGAATCCGATCGGGGAGAAGTTTGACCCGAACTTTCACGAGGCGCTCTTCATGGCGCCCATGGAGGGGAAAGAACCGGGCACGGTCGCCGTCGTGTCAAAGGTCGGATACACGTTACACAGCCGCGTGATTAGGCCTGCGCTAGTAGGGGTGGTTAAGGCACCGTAAAGCTATGGAAGTTAGGTTGGCATGTGTACATACTAGTAGTGATGCATACCTAAACCCAATTTTAGGTTCAGTTCCGGATTCAAGTCCAGAGGTTTAGGTTCAGTTCCGGACTTGCGTAAGTCTGGAGCTAAACCCAATATTAATGGCATATACAAAATAGCATGTTGGAAACCTTCCAATGTTGTCTGGGTGAAACTTTGGCCACATAACATGGAGGCCAGTACTTGACGATGCTCGATGGCAATGTTTTTTTTCATTTTGCAGCAAAGATTTTACAATCTACGGAAGGTTTTAGGTGGTTTGGAAAGAAAAGGGGTTAATGGTAATAAGTCCGGACTCGGTTCTTGACTTTTGAGTTTTTTTTGGACTTGAACCTAAACATTCTTACAAGTCCGGATCCAAGTCCAGTGAACCGGTATGCATCACTATGTGTACATGTTGTAGTTATATTTGATGTCTTTAAATTCAAGTGACAGGGCTCAAAATACATACTCTCCAAGCAGAGGTTAGGGTTTGGGGTTATTTTTGGCATGTTTTTCCTTTTTTTATCAGGGTTTCTTTTCTGCACTGCAAAAAAAGAAAAATTCCAGTGCAAAAAATAAATCCTGATAAAAGTCTAAAAACACGCCAAAAATAACCCAAAACCCTAACCTCTGCTTGGAGAGTACAAAATACATACACAGTTAAGTGCATTTGAATTGGAGCTGTGCAGGTACAAGATATTTCTGATGTCTATTTGCACCTAACCTGCACTGGTCCATGTACTGGGTATATGCAGGTTAGTGCAGGTAAAATTGGAGCTGTGCAGGTACAAAATGTATTTCTGATGTCTACCTGTACCTAACCTGCACTGGTCCATGTACTGGGTATATGCAGGTTAGTGCAGGTAAAATTGGAGCTGTGCAGGTATTTCTGATGTCTACCTGATGCTGCAGGATGCAGAGCTACTGCAGCAGCAGAATACAGTGAACTACTACCTGCACCTAACCTGCACTGGTCCATGTACTGGGTTTATGCACAAATGGAGGTTTATGTGGATTTTCATAAGCTGTATTGACATCAGCACTTATGAAATAATGGCATTATGGTTTCTGAACAGTTTTTAGTGGTGTTATGAGTTATGAGTGGTGCAAGTAAAATTTGTCTGCTGCACATAATTTTCAATATCACCTGTACCAGATGAGTGCAAGTATTCAGAAAATTTATCTATTTGGAGACCTGTCAAACATTATATGGTAGGCTTTTGAACTTCCCAACTTTCCATCAGTGTTTGGGATGAAAAGGTTAGGTGGGCAAATTTGAAATTAAAAAAGGTATGAAAATGATACATTTTTTTTCATTCTACTGTTCAGGAAATATGTTGTCTGCACAAATAAATGTGATTTTGTCAAAGATGTTACTGACACTGATACAGTAGAACAAATATTGTACATTTGAATGAGGAAATTGGTTATTAGTAGACTAAGTAGTATCGATTATGATAGCTACAATCTTTATGAGTTCAGTTCAAGAGAATGTACGAGAAATCTGCCCCAAAACACACACATGAAAACCAGGGCTCGAAATTCATTTTCGGGAAAAGGTGCACTGGTGCACCCAACCTAAAAAATTAGGTGCACAAAATTTTTTTTGGGTGCACCATATGAAACTTATATACCTAATTGCAGGTCTTACTGCTCCTCTTCTGAGCTTAAATCTAAATGAGAGCTAACTTCAAAATCTTTTAAAAACTAGTACTACAACAAAGATTTTATTATTTTTCTGATACGTAGAGACCAAGAATATCTGGTATACTATAATACATTTCTAATGTTAAAAATTCCTACAAAAATATTTGGGTGCACCAGTGCACCCACAGAAAAATATTAGGTGCACAACTCCAATTTTGGGTGCACTAAGGTGCACATGCACCCAGTATTTCGAGCTCTGAAAACAATTTCTTTAATGCAATTGTAATAACTTTAGAGATCATTTTCTATACCTTTGGAATCACTGGGTCACAAACTCCGAATCATGTTACTATATAGTATAAAGATCAGAATTGTCATTAGTGGGCACTAGTTTTATGGGATATGTGACTAATAAACATTCCTGAACAACTGGCTCATGCATCCTGCAATAAGTATTGTGAAAAGAGTAGCTATAGACGTTGCTTATACGGGTTAAGTAAGAAATGTTTTGTTTCCTGTTTCCCGACCTACCATACTAAAAAAAACCTGCCTACGTAGAGCTGTGTACCTAAACAAATTTTAGGTACAGGTACAGGTACACAGGTCGAATTGTTCAGGTACAGGTTCAGGTCCGGACCTGTACCTAATTAGGTACAGGTCCGGACCTGAACCTGTACCTGAACAATTCGACCAATTTATAATTATAATTATATGCTCTTCTGAACTCCTTCAATAACAAAAAAACATTAATAAACTTGTTAGTTAAGGTTTATTCTTTGTTTATGGCGAATGCTCAGATAAAATATAGGCAAAACTAAAGATGTTTTTGTTTTCATGAACTCACTGTCCTTACACAGGGACCCACTTGAGGTCACAAATAGGCATAAAATTGGTGTGAAATTGTTTAGGTACAGTACCGGTACTGAGGGATTAGGTATTTTGGACCTGTACCTAATCAATTTTTCCGGTACAGTATCGGTACTGCGTACCGGTACACAGCTCTATGCCTACGTATACCCTAGACTTTTTTTAATGGTGGACCCCTGCAAGGGACATGAATAATTTTTAGAGCTGATCATCCTGTTCTAGCTCCACGATCTGACACCTGAGTGATAAAACTTTTGTGCAATCGATTTTCTAACATTGACATTGAAAATAAAAGTGTCCTCATGCAAATTTTGCTTCGTTTAACTGTATTGTATACGTTGGACCCCTATAGAGAGATCACAAGTCTTGAAAAAAGATAATCCCTACCTACCAACCCTAATTGTGAATTTTTTCAGGACTGAAACAGGAAACACAACAGGTGGCAGTATGAAAATATTCTGGATGTGGAAATCTGTATATTGACATTTTCTGTCATTTTCAGTATTGTTTCGTTCTTGAAGCATTTAAAATACCCACAAAACAACCTAGGTTTTATTGCCCTGCACTGACTAGCTCTGGTGCGTTTGGCGTGGTAGATTATGATCGGAAAAAGATAATCCGTGGCTTATAATTTCAGTGGAAGATTAAAGTACGCATAAAAACGAGAAATCGAAGTTTTCAGACTCTCTTAAAGTATCGGAGGAGTATTCCGTACAGTCCTTGGTTTCCTAAATTCCTGCAGGATTCTGGAGAACTATTTTCTGTGTTTGATTTACCTGTCATTCTGGCGGCCAATCTTCCCTACCCACGTGCTGACAACCTACTATGTTAGGACAGTCACACAACCACTGCTCTGTCACCAAAAACAATGCTTTCGTACCCTAAATTGTTTTGTTTATTTAGGATCTCCGTTAGTGTGAATTTCGCACTACTCATCCTGGAGTCCGTAGTGAACAATCAGACAAGTATTTGCACCATCATACACCGGGGCATGCCCCTACTAGTACTCTTTTTCGAAAGGCGTGGTGGGTTCTTTAACGTGCGTGCGTGGGTTGTGGCTCTCCCCAAACACGGGAACTCAATTTAACGTCCCATCCGAGGGACGTCCCTGTCCAGGGACGTCCCTGTCCGAAGCTAGGTACTCATTTGCACCTAAGTGAAGTGAGGAAAGTCGTGTAAAGTGTCTTCCCAATGGCACAAGTGACCAGGTGGGGTTCGAACCCGGGACCTCTTGGTTCCGGGCCGAAGACGCTACCCCTACGCCACGCGACCCCACATATTAATTAGAAATGTTTACCTTCATATGTGGATGTCCTATCTCAAACTACTGCTCTGTTTATTCTTATTACTCCAACACATTCACAACTTTGTCCTGGTACTTGCAACATAATGAAACCCAACACCAGTGGTCGAGGTCATGGACGAGTGGTCTAGGTCATTGACCTTATTTGTTTGAAGATGAGAAATAAGAGGAGTAGAAACGATTTTTTGTCTGCAAAGGTAAACAAAACAAACATATATAAGAATTAGTAATGACCAGTGACTGCAAATAGCTCTTCCAAGCATTTATTCTGCTATATCGAACAAACACAGCACTTTCGTTATCTGATTAATATATGGTTTTCTAAGGCACATCATACTCCTAAACATCAGTATACGGTATCGAAACTCTTCGAAATCACTTGCTATGACGTAAGTACTGTCCGCCATGTCGGATCATTAAACTCGTCTGTACGTTTCCTGGTATATCTGTACATTACTTTTATAATTCCAGAAACATAGATATGACATAAACACAAACATCATAAACGTATAACATATATATCTCTGGCGGATTTAAAAACACTATTGTTGCTTTAACGTCACTTGCAAACACCGTATAATGTTTACATGCATTAAGATATTAAGTGGGCAATAATGTGTTCTACAGTCACCAGTCTGACTAGGCAATGCACATCAATTACATTTATGTGTAAAGCCCTTGTCACACGCACATGAACGCTGTGAACGCTTCCCAAACACTGCCGAACTCCCCCAACCATGTTTGGGAGTAGGTCGGGGTAAGGTCGGTTGTGGTTGGCTGGTGTTCGGCGAAGTCGGCTACTGTTCGGCTGTGCCAGCCGAATTTTTTAAAGATCTTCTTTAAAACGGATGGGAGGTTAGGCCAGAGTTGGCTGTTTTTCAAGGGGTAGGTTTGGGGTGGTTGGCAGTCAAATTTAACTCAAATTCGATTCAATCAGAATAGAAAGGCAATTGTGGCCCAAATATGGGCAGACTGCTCCCGAACTTCGGCCAACCTTGAGCTTGGTCGGCTGGAGTTCGGGGGGAAGGTTCTGGATGCGTGGCAGGGGCTTCACATTCAAGAAAGTCGGCGGAAAACACATTGACGACGCACGAATACATACAACAAACATTGAATACTAGTACCATGTAATACAATTTCCTTTTCATCAACAAATTTGAATTCCTCGTGCTACAATAGCTCATCACGGAAAATACCATAGTGCGATTCGCACATTCTTCACCTCCTCTGCGTACGTTTCACAGTACAGATATACGTCACTGGCTATAGTACGCCAAGGACGGTCTGTCAAATATTGATAGAACCTCCTTGCTATTATGTATTACATGCATTCCTGATACATAGATACATCTGAAGTTTTTTTTTTTTAATCGCTTTATCGTGGGATTTCTGTAGCTGATGTTTTTTATATTAATGACAAACGATGTCATTGAAACGTCACTTCGTCAACAAATGATATTGTACACTTAAAGCAAACTGAAGTAATTTATCAATAAGGCTATGTTGATTTAATTGTATGGATTACATCCAGGCCCGCATGAGTTTTCGGCCGTTTAAAAAAATGTTTTCAACCAAACTGTAAATCGTACAAAACAGTTCCAAAATGTGCTAATATATACCGTAAGTTCAAAAAAAGATAATGGAAAACGATACCAATGTCGAAAAAGGCCAAAATCAAAAGAAAAAGAGAAAAATGTAAATATATGAATTCGAAGACTAGATTATCTGCCATACCATACTCTGTGTCATTTGTTCAACCTTCATGATCACGTAAATTTCATAATGAAAGCAACCTTTTTTTTTTACAAAACCTTTTTTTATTAGCACGCGCGTATAAGTTTTGGGGTTCCCACAGGATGACATCCATATAATCAAATCAACATGGCCTAATGTCGTTACATTAACAATATTGTGTCCCGCACAACGGGGCCAACTTTTAAGTGTCCAATGCGTGCAATTTAATGGCGGCAAATAGTGATTTTCAAAACATCGGTCAAATTTTTGGTCAGTATTTTAACGTAGTATCAACCCTATCCCGTAGCATAAGGATATCTGTGAGGCAAAAATAAGATGTCGCTGACAGGACATGGTTGGTTGCGTTGTATCCTACGCTGTTTCTTGCTACTTATAATAAATATGGACGGTAGCCAAAACATAAAGAGACGCCTCACGTAGCTTGTTTTGGAGCTACTTTAAATGCTTTAAGTGTGCAACAATGCCGAAAACGTGCTACAAAATGGCAGTAATTGTCAGTATCAGACAGAATTTCGTTTCTGATCTGCGCCCACAAGTGTATTCTAGAATCTCATTCAAAATGTTTTACTGCCCTAGAACATGGATGCCTTGAAGAAAAGAAATGAAACACGAACTTTTGTTTATAGTATGATAACTATGCTCAGCTTCAATTACTCTCTAGCTCCACATTCTTAGATCGATTACATTTTGGGTTCCTTTTTCTTGTTTAAATGTTAGCATATGCATCATTTTTCGCTTTAAAATGAACGAACCTCGTGATATTTACATTAATTATATACTTTTCTTGATGTTGGCTTCTCCAGCTGAAATCTACTGCTTGTAATTATCAAATTTGAACACAATAACGCATTTCAGTTTTGTGGCCTTACAACACCAAAATCCTGTTTGCAAAAGGTGATTCATTCAATGGTGGGGTAGTTTCTACCAGTCCCACACACATAGGGGTAATATCTGACCATCTCCATCGAAACGAAGAAGACGAGCAGCACGAGGACGTATAACCATCCAAAAGAGAGAATTCGGTAGGGTACTGTCTGTCAGTTCTAACAATCACGTCATACTCAAATTAGTCTATTTGTCTTTTTTTTTATTTACCTACAAATCTTTCCTACCTCTCAGAGATCTAATTAGAGTAGCTATAAGGTTAGTCTTGAGTATTTCAGGGGGCTAGGATTTGAACAACAGGCACCAAAATCACGTTTCCGTTTACCAAAAGACGTACTACAAACGTTAACACAGTTAACTATTTAGGGTCGGGCACATACTTCGTACGATCGTTGTACTATCACAAACTGTATGCATTCGTGGCATGGTCATTTTTTTCCCTGGAAAACTCATGATCAGCTGTACTAATATTAATAAAAGCTTGTTTCTTGAAATTTTGTCTCAGATCCTTGTGGATGATTGGTACTGCATTCTATCACAGTATGCATGCTTGAAAATACTTCAAATCAAAATCGTACGTTGACCTACGACAAACGTTATCAGACCGTTTTAGCCAGTAAACACTTCTAGAAAGTAGATTCCTTTTATACCGCCTTAGACACAAATCTATTACGTCACCTTTATCGTACAGGCTTTCTGTATTTTTTTTTTATGATATCTAGTTAAACTTATTAAAATGTTCTCCAACTCAAAGGATATTTACCAGAATTTACATCAGGGCACGACAACATTCTCTCAACCCGGACGGGGGGCGGTACCGACTTCCGACCGACTTTGACCCAGTGCTGACTTCACACATGCGGGAAAATCACGTGTCTGTATAACCTGGGTCAGATGGCTCGAAAATTCCGGAGGTTTAATACTATTGAGTTGGAGAACCGTTTAATTTTCGTTTAACGTAGTTAGAGTGTCATTCCGAGTCAGATGAGAGTTCCTTTACGTCCAAGTTGTACTGCACCGGGTCCTTGACTGTATACGGCTGGGTCGGCATGGGGCATTCCTCACTGTACAGAATAGCCTGGAAGCGAAAAACGTAAACATGGAGGGTAAGTAGAATAATTCTTTAATCAGTGACTGTTTTTGTAAGGTACGGTGATTTTACCTTACAAAAACAGTCACTGAATAAATAACATTCTACTAACTGTTAATTAATACGTGACCCGGCGTTGCTGAAACTGTTGGCTGAGACACTTACCCTGACACACTTGGACTACTGTACAGCGGTTTGGTCCCCTACCTCACAAAAGAACATCACCGCACTCCAAGTAATGCAGAACAAGGCAGGGAGACTTGCACTGAGAACTCACCGGACATCGGTGAAGCATATGCACAGTGTGCTATCATGGCTGACAGTTGGTGACAGACTCTATGTTAACAACATGTGTACCTTCCACAAGTTGCTTTTCTATAAGCAACCAACAACACTTTACAGTAAACTGCAGCTTGTATCTAACCAGCACGGTTACAGTACGAGATCTGCAGCAAGGAATAATTTTAAGCTGCCAAAGCCAAAAACATCGGCAGCTATTAAATCTTTCCTCTACAGATGCTCAAAACTGTATAACACACTTCCATGTCATATCAGAAAATCAATACCTACCAGTTTTAAAACTCTCATCAAAGACAGACTGAAACAAGCTATACAGAATTGACAGTAAACTAAGATTGAATATTAATTGTATATATACTGTGTATGATGATGTAAATATGATGATGTATATATGTATGTGTTTTGATGTTTTGTAACGTTTATGTGTATACTCTCTCCTGGAAGAGTAGCTGTCACCCTCGGGTGGGCAGCTAAAGGAGAGTTTTAAACCAATAAACCAATAAACTGATGAACCTCTTCAACGGTAAACATGGAGATACATGTATTAAAGCGTATATAACAGTGTTTGTAAATGGTGCAGCAGAATGGTATGGTAAACTTTTCGAGTGTGTAGTACAGTGTGATATGGTGTGGTATGTGGTAGTGCGTGTGGTTTAGTGTAGTGTGATGTGATGTGGTGCGGTATGGTGTAGTGTAGTATAATTTTCTGTGGTATATTATAGTGTAGAATGATGTGGTATGGTGTAGTGTATTGTAGTATGGTATTGTGTGGTATGGTGTAGTGTGGTATAATTTTGTGTGATATATTGTAGTGTAGTGTGATATATATAGAATACAACACGGTGCATTCCGTATCGCCCGAGGTACCAGCCCGACCGCGAGTCGGATCGCCCGTACGAACGTGTTCAATACACCCGTATCGAACGTAATCGCGGCCCAGGTAGGAAATAAAAATATATAGAATACAGCGCGGGGTATTCAAAAGTAATGTTATATTGGTCTGATTATATGGATGACGTCGTCTGGGAACCCTAAAACTGAAAAAGGTGCATTAGCTGAACGTGAACTCCGCGGATAACAAGAAACACGAAACTGCCACATCATGAGTCCCACCTCCGCGGAGCTCAATCCGCTAACCCCTACGCCTCCGTCCACCAGACGTGTCGTGGTGTGGAAGAAAGTATAGAGGGTTTCTCGTCGTCTTTCTACCAGCCTTTTTCGGTTCAGATCGTCGGGATTTCATCCTACATACAACTCAGGTACGTACCAAGAGCTTGTCTAAGCTACAGTCATAGATGTGACGGGAGATTAACTCACACAGTTTGTTTTTCGTTCGCTAAACTCACCGCCACCAATGACTGAGCCGATTTGAGCGCATGTGATTTCTTTCATATATTCAAATGCTATGGCTCGAAAAGTATACGGTTTCTTGGCTTGTAAACAAATTTCTGTCAGAAACAACTTGAGTGTGTATCGCGAAACAACACTCGTACGTTTAAGGATAATTTGTTTTGTTTTGCTGTTCCGTTTTTAGGTGTAAAAGATAGCGACTTTCTCAAGTTTCTGAGAATGTTGTTGACGCCGTACGAAGGCTCTACAAGGGGTTTCATCTCTTTTGAAATCGAAAACAGACGACAGCAGAAATGCTTGCCTATTGAACAGATAGTGAGAGTGCCTTTCTATAAATAGACAGTTGATTTTGTAGAAGGATGGAGATTTTGATGTTAAATTTTGAAGGTGTTTCGAGTTACATTGTTTTGAAAAACCCCAAGTGTGCCCCACGTAACAATTCTCCCGCCCAAACATCTGGTTTCTATCATGGAAGAAATGGAGTCCGGGGCGGTTCATGATCAACAACGTACCTCTCGTACATGTGATAAGGGGGAGTTGGGGGCGACTCACTAATTAGTTGAGGGATATTCTTTTTTTTTCTTTGGACACAGATTTTCTAATAATCCTTTGTTTTATGTTTTCACAGGTAGAAGTTATGCCTTCCCAGCTGGAAGGGAAACAGGATTTCATAGTCCAGTAGTGCTGAAAGGAAAACAGGATTCCATAGTCCAGTAGTGCTGAAAGGGAAAACAGGATTCCATAGTCTAGTAGTGCTGAAAGGAAAACAGGATTCCATAGTCCAGCAGAGCTGAAAGGGAAAACAGGATTCCATAGTCCAGCATTGCTGTCTGCCCTGCTAAAAGGGAAAACTGTGAGGCTTCACCTGTGTTTTTCCAGACATCAGTACTCCCGTGTAGCAGGACTTGATTTTGTTAGATATTTTGCAGGTAAGAACATATTCTTAACTTGACCAAGGATTATGTTTGGTTGCGTTTGTGTGTATGTGGCAAGTTTCTCTCAAAAAGCCATGGATGGAATAAAGACTAAGATTTAACTTCCAACACTAACTACAACGTATTGGGACTTACCCCAAATTTTCGGTTGACTCCATCAACCTTGTTCACGGAATAGACCCGTCTACTCTTGGAACGTGGAGACACGTTAGCGTAGTGGCCTGGGTAAGTCCCAATTCTTTGTAGTTAGTGTTGGAAGTTAAAGCGTTGTCTTTTTTTTCTTAATGAATTCTACCAACACAGATGAACTTTCATGCTAAGCTATAGATGGTTTGCCACTTCCAAGCAGATCCTAGGGGATCAAATACTAGTACCCCACCCAAGGGGGGAAATGGTAACTCGGGTGGCAAATCTGGGTGGCGTCTTGGATCCACTCTGGCGGATGGATACTGTCTGGCCAATTTTATACTCTCTTTTGCCACCCTAGGATCTGCTTGGAGATTAGAAATTTGGTACGAGGTTAGGTCCTGTACTGTTGAAGACAAGTAGTGGTTAGTTTTTTGGCACCCTGGTGGATTTTCTATATGTATTAAAGCAGAACTTCCAGCTTTTCTATCTTGTGTTCTGGACAAGTAATGGTAACTTTTGTATGAGTGATAGCCCAGCCTCTTCTGTGTTTGAAGAAGTGATGTAATTTTGGCCCAACAGGAAAATTTGAGTTTGTCATTAAAATGGTTTGAAAAAATGGAGGAAAACTATCACTTTAACTTAGCAGCATCTTTCCAAGTATTTTTCTCTATGTAGATTTGAGTACTGTATGGTAGTTTCTTCATCTTAAGAGCGAATGTCTGTAAGGATCAAACAATGGTGGCAGGGGTCAGAAAATCGATTTGGCTCAAACTTTGCACAGTGATAGTACTTGGCCCACAACCCCTCAAAATAGCTTTCTTTCCGGTCAGCACCGATCGTTGCCATGGTAACGGGCCAAACAAGTTTCGGGGCCATTTTCCCTGATTTAGACATGTGAAAAACATGAAATTTGGCATAGTTTAAGGCACGATTACGAGCAAGTGCTTTAATATTATGGAAAAACAAAGTATGGGCTTAAAAGACCAACTTATCCGCTATTCTAGAATAGCTTTGAAATTTTCAAGAAGTTCGTTTGAAGGACCTGGGCAACCCTAACACAATACAGTGTTTGAGGCTGATGAAAAAGCGTTATTTCTGCCCAACTTTGAAGTGCTGTAAGTCCAAAGATGGTGATTTTTTTTGCTTCGAATTTGAATCATAGATACATAAACATATGTGCTATAAAATGCATGGTTGCAAACTTTGGGCACTTCTTTGGTTGTCACGTGGTTGTCCTTAGAAGTAGGTCAAATTTTGAATTTGAGGGAAAATATGATTTTCAGCCATGTTCAGGATACTATATCTACAAAAGAAAGAAAGCAATCTGATAAATTCTTTTGCCCAAAGTAACACTATGTCTTGTCTATTAAATGAATACTTGTGGAGGTTGAAGTCTTGTGTCGTTGGTGTGCACTTGTCCCTCAAAGTAGGCCATATTTTGGACATGTACAGAAATTGACATATACGCCTATGTTTGAAGCTCTAGAAATAGCAAAGTAGGATGTCATTTGAATTCAATCTTTGCAGGGAAGTACATATATGTATTGTGTATCAAATGAATACTTGTGGAGGTTGGGGCCTTGTGTCGTTGGTGTGCACTTGTCCCTAAAAGTAGGCCATATTTTGGACATGTACAGAAATTAGCAAAAACGGCTATGTTTGAAGGTCTAGAAATTACGAAGTAGGAAGTCATTTTAATTCAATCTTTTTAAGAGGAGTACATATATGCATTGTGTATCAAATAAGGGATTGTGTATCAAATAAGGGCTTGTGGAGGTTGGGTTCTTGTGTCGTTGTTGTATACCTGTCCCTAAAAGTAGGCCATTTTTTTAAAGAGCAAATGTCTGTAATGATCAAACAATAGTGAGCGAGGTCAAAAATCGATTTGGCTCATATTTTGCACAGTTATAGTACTTCGCCCACAACCCCTTGAAATAGCCTTCTTTCCGCTCAAAACCCATTGTTGCCATGGCAACAGCCCATTCAAGTTTTGGGGCCATTTTGACAGATTTTTGCGTCTCTACAACACGGAAATTGGCAAAGTTTAGGACGCGGTCACCGCCAACTGCTTTAACGTAACGACAAATACTTCAGGATATTATTAGACCAATGCATAAACTTGTACGAAATAGGTATAAACTTGATGTACAGGCAGATTTCAGTCTTTGGGCAACCTCGAAGTAGGTCATTTTCCGCACTTGTCCCCAAATTTGGATTTTGGGCTGTTTTTGATCCAGCTGATGAAAATACCAAAGTGAATTT